AAGAGTGTATTTAGGCAGTGGGATAAACTCAAGTCTTCGTACTGAGATCAAGTCAGTCTCTTGGTGCAGCTGGGAGATAGTTCAACTCCAGGTGCTATTTTTAGCTGTTTCCAAGGAGATATTCAGCATGATACTGATAATTGCACTAATCTTCAATTTGTGCAATCCGTAGAGAGAGAAGCAGCAGCTCTTTTCCAGTATTTACTGCCTAATTGGTCACCTGGTTATGATTTATCAGCCAAAATAATAAAATGCCTTTCTTGGAATAATTGGCCTCAGAATTATGTTTTGGATCCCTTCTCTTTACTAGTCTAACTTTTAGTTTTTTGGTTATAAAGACATTGTGAGCTTTTCTCATGCTGGCTCTCATTAGTAATTCCTTCCTGGGTGTGCCTTGGGTCTAGGCTTTGCCCATTGGGAACTTAATGTTATAAATTTACCAAGAAATGATTGGTCTCTTAAAGCACAGCCAACCCTATAGCACAGTGGTTAAGAACTGCACAGAGGAAGTGGGATCCCACATGGCTGAGCAGGTTCAAGTCTCAGCCCCAGCAACTCAAAAAACATGCTGGGTGTGTGTATATATGCATGCCCAGGATCCTGAAAGGATTGAGAATTGAAGAATAAAAGGATTGTAGTATTGTGTGACAAGGCCCCATTACAGAGTTTTCTCTCTCTCTCTCTCTCTCTCTCTCTCTCTCGCCCTTGGGCACACACACACACACACACACACACACACACACACACATACAATTTTAAAAAGCTTGATCTGACCATCTGAGTAATTCATCTGTTTTTTGTTCATAGAACATTTCTGATGAATTGGCTCTGAAGAACAGAATACAGATCAAAAAATTTAAGATTAGTATTAAAGCAGAGGAAATTCAAAAATTGAAAGTTTCTTTCTTAAGTTTTTTCTCTCTTCCATGCGTGAGTGCACATGTTAGATAAAATCAGCATCCCCAACACAGTGGTGACACTGAGATCCACTCCCTGCTAGCCCTAGATCATGGACACTTCCACACCCGGTACACTCAGGGAGGTCTCCAGACATGAACTGGGAACCTTCTTCCCATGTGGTATTGCCTCAGAACATTGTATTCTACTCCTGCACTGTCGTCTGGCCCATGAATGTTGAACATTATAGGAAGTTTCAGTAACTTGATGAATTACCCTTCTTGAAGGAATTTCTTTTTCTTAAATAACTGTTAGTGGGGTTTTTTACAGAGTCTTCTTGGCTCTCCAGCATGCAACTCCTACTTCCTATTTGGAGGATTTCTCTTGTGTTGTAGTAGTTTTGCTAAGTGGTGGTTCCCAATGACTTTTGGTCCATTCTCTGATAACCAAAGCATATGAGCTATGCTTGATTTATTAGATGTTTCTGACCAAGACCTTGAATTTAGATTAAGTGATGCTAAACAAAGGGACTGGCTAGGATTCGTTTTCTGGCATTGCAGCCCTGCCCTGACCAGACTCTTTCACTAACAGTCAGGCTTTCTGCTTCTTGACTTAACAGCTGCCTGAGTGCTACCTGATTACTAAGCCTATTCTTTAGGACTTTCATTGATTCTGTGAGCTCCCCAATATCTTTCCAATATGTCTGCCCCCTAAAAAATTTCTTGCTCAATATAGTCTTTTGCTTGGATCTAAAAAACGTAGTTAATACGATAGAGAACATTACCATCCAAGCACTTCTCTTATGCTAAAACTAGGTAAACACAGCCGTATTCTTAAATTTTGATGCCCGCCACCACAATTTTTTTTTTTGTATTTCCCCTTAGAATCGACATTCTTCACATATGTAATATTTTTAAATGAATTATTGTGTCTGGTATAGATACCATAAAAATTAGATTCAGTTTATACCTCCTTTTTAGTTATCTTTTTCCTTCTCGTTTTTATTGCCAGAGACTGTGTACATTCATCAGAGAGGGTGAGAGAAAGCACCCGCCAATGGGTGCTTGGTCGTGCTGCAGTCCTTTCTCTTCCATTTCTCCATCCTGTTGGAATCTGGGGCTTGCATACACGTGTTTTACAAGCCACTGGGGCCAGGATTTGAACTGCAGTCAGCCAAGTGGGATCTGACTCCCCTTACCACTAGGCCATGGGGCTTGGTCCTCTTAATTTCTTTATTGAGATTTGTCAGATGCCCTATTTCATAATTCTTCAGAAAAATAATATTTTCACTTTGGTTCCCAGGCTTAAGAGTACCAGTTGTTAAGGCCACAGGCTTCTCCTGTGTATGAAATACCTGGCTAAGTACATTTCCTCTCTTTGAAGCTTTCTTTATATTCAGAAGCTTTAAGAATGAAAGAAGAGATTTTGGGAGATTCTCTGGTTAAGAAAAAAACATTGTCAAAAGGTGGCAGGCGGACATACGTGCTGCCAGTTGAGCTTGTGCCAGCCATATTGTTAAAGCACTCCGGGAAGAAAGCACGCACAGATTCAGCTCACGTCGTCTTTGCAGGATACTTGTCCTGCCTTTGTGTTGGATGGGTGTTTGGCCATCTGTGTGAATTTCTGAGTTAGAAAAGCGAAGAAAAGAGGTGCTTTACTTAGGTTTCTTCAACTTTCCCTGCCCGGGTCCTGCAGACATGACTTGTGCCACAATGCTCTCTTCCAGCATCCCTGTGTCCCCATGCCACAAGCCACATTGTAGCTAAATGAGTGATAAGTTATTTCTTTTACAGAAAAGAATAGCTTGTATTTATCCAGTCCTTCCTTGCCAGTCACTGTGTTAGAAGCTTCACACACACTGTTACTTTAACTCATTAAACATTCATTCATAGAACTATGAAAGTTTCTTTTTTTGGATGAGAAACTAAGGCACAGTAGATTCTGAAACTTGTCCAACATCATACAACTAATAAATAATAGTCAGAATTTGAATTTACACTGGTATGCAAACCAGGAGGTATGTTGTTTAGTTTTATATATGAGTGAGCAGAAATTTAGTGACATCTAAATTACTGTTCCATGCAAAAGACAGAAACATAGGAGGGGCATGTCAATAAAACCTAGGTTTTAGGGAACCAGCAGTTAGCGTAATGGCTATGTCGCTGGACTCCCACGTTGTCGACCGCGGTTCACATCCCAAACCCGGTGGCTTAAAACTCACGCCAGGCACGCGTGCATGCATGCCCAAGATCCCGAGAGGAGAATGGAGAAGAGATTGCGGCATGGCCATCCCCCCTGAGGGGTGATTTCTCACTTTCTCTCTGTCTCTCTCTGTCTATCTGGCGAGTGCACACACCCTATAGCGAAAACCTCCCAAAAAAAAAAAAAAAAAAAAAAACTAGGTTTTGTTTTAAACATAAAAAATGCAGTCGATGGTTAGCCAGTGGTCATGTGTTTTTCTTTATCACTGACATTAGGTAAAGCTGATCTGGTTCTGAAAAGTCAAGTTGAAGCATATTAAACATACCTTTGTGAACAAAAAGCTGACCTTTTTGTTCATTTAAAATCATATTGGGAGAAGTCATGTAATCCTCTGATCTCTTTCAGAAAAGAAGAGAAGAAAGTGCTAGGCTAAAGGAGGAGGGAAACGAGCAATTTAAGAAAGGAGGTAAGATAACGTTTAGAGCTGATGTCTGGTCGTCTTGACTCCTCATCCTGCTGGAGAGCCTGTGAAGGAACAGGCCATTTGGAAGCCACTGGCAGACCTAAGCTGCCCGCAGTACAGTGTTGTTTCGAATTCGGTTTTTTACCAGGCCGTTCTCAGCTCATGGTGACCAGTTACCATGTGCCTTATGGCACAAACATGGTTTTTCTTTTCTGTAGTCCTCTCTCTATCTGTTGATCCAGATACCAGGGGTAAAGCTCCTCAGTGGTAGCTTTGGGAAACACTAACCTTTAACGTGAAGACTGCTTGTCGCACTGATGGAAAAGCAGTTCCTTACTGGCTGCAGTCTGTACTGTGGTTGCCCTTTCACGTGCCTTGTCCTTCAGATGCCTTACGTAGAGCAGTGTTCTTCGTGTCCTGCATTTCCTACATTTGCTTAGGGATTACGTTTGCTTAGGCATTACAGGGTTCATTTTGACACTGTGTGGCAAAGGCTTGATCTTATAACAGCTTTTTGTCACATCTCAAAGTTTATATACTTCAGAAGTCTAGGGATAATAATATTTTTTCTGGTTATTTTTTAACTTTTTTCTTATATCCTGGTTTAGCAATCATTACTTTTTTTTTTTTTTAATTATTTTTAAAGGACGTGTGCACTCACCAGAGACAGAGAAGCAGAGGGAGAGGGAGAAATCACCGCCAGCAAGGAACCAGCACACTGTAATCCCTGCTCCGTTTCGCCACGCTTTCAGGATTTGGGGGCATGCACACACACACATCCAGTGTTTTCCAAATCCCAGGGCTGGATTTTGAACTGTGCTGTCGGCCATGCGGGATCCAGCTTCCTTAACCAACAGACCACAGGATTGCCCCATTCCTTCTTTTTTTCCTAATGGAAATAATGGTTTTAATTTTGAAAGCATATCTCTGGTATGTTAGTGTTAAATATTTCAGACCTGGGACCAGCAGGTGGCATAGCAGTTACATTACCCACATTGTCAACTACAGTTCAAGTCCCAGACCTGGTGGCTTGAAAATCACACTGGGAACATGTGCATACGTGCCCAAAATCCCAGGAGGAGAATGGAGAAGGGATTGCAGCCTTACAATCCCTTCTAGGGGTGATTTCTCACTTTCCCTCTCACTCTGTCTTTCTCTCTAGTGAGTGCACATGCCCTAAGGCAAAAACCTCTTTAAAAAAATTTTTTTTTCAAACCTAAGGAAGGAGTAAATAGACAATTTTCATTTTGATTTAGTATCCTGACCATAGTTCTGCATATAACAATGAGTATATAAATGTATCATCATTTAGTTAAATATTGATTTTTACATTGTTGCTTTTAGTCCCATAAAGTGTCTCCCCAAACATTTCATGGGTACAGTTTTTGCCAGGTTGGCTACATGAGAGCACAGTAGCTTTAATAAAATATATATGTAGAATTTTTTCATCATCCAGGCCACAGATCACTGACTTTATTCTCTTGGATCTCTTGGTACCCTAATCCCCTTTAGAAACTACTTTGAAAAATATTAAGCCACATGAAAGCTGAACACGTGGGACACGCCAGGACTCCGGAGCATGGAGGGCTCTTCGCGGACAGCAGGCCACATGCTCAGCTGTCCGTTCACCAGGCACAGCTCCTGAGACTGACACAAGCAGCACTGTTTCTTTAAAGGGAGGAGAAGAGGCGGGGGGGGGGGGGGCCAGGAGCTATGTCTCTGGAGTCCCATGTAGTCGACCGCAGTTCGCGTCCCGGACCCGGTGGCTTAGAACTCACGCTGGGCGCGTGTGCGTGCATGCCCAAGATCCCGAGAGGAGAATGGAGGAGAAGGGATTGCGGTGTGACCATCCCCCCTGGGGGGTGATTTCTCGCTTTCTATCTCTATGTCTCTCTCTGTCTGTCTGGCGAGCACACACGCCCTATAGCAAAAACCTCTCCCCCCCAAAAAAAAGGAAGGAGAAGAGGGAAATTATTTTTACTACCCACCACTTAATAGACTGTTAACTCATTTGAAATTTTCGTCCTTTGAGCAGAAAGCTATGCATTCTGAGATCTGTGAAATACACGATCATCAAAGTGTAATGACTGCTTATTCTTTACCTTGTCATCCTCAGAGTATGTAGAGGCTGAAAGTTCTTATAGTCAAGCCCTTCAGATGTGCCCATCTTGCTTCCAGAAAGATAGATCCATTCTTTTTTCCAATAGAGCTGCTGCAAGGATGAAACAGGTATGAATCTCACCTTTTCATTTTAAAGAACATACTACGTTTTGCACTATTTTTGTTGGGTAATTTCTTTCAAAAAACTAGCTTAGGGGCTTAAAGTAGCTGTCTCCCTTTTTCTGCCCATGTATTTCCCTAAGGGAAAGGGTTCAGGGAGGCTAGAAAAGTAGTTTGAGAAACTTGAGTCAGATCACTGTTATTCCCCATAAAAGAGCCGAGTGAATACTTTCATGGCAGGATGCTGGCAAAGTTTCCACAAAACTAGGGCAGGTTAATGAAGCAAGGAGCCAAGTAGTGCATGTCCTAGAATAGCTGTAGCAGCTTATTTTAGGCCTCTGGAATTCTAGATAAAGATTCAAAAGCATAGGAGACACTGATTAAAATTCTGAACTTAAAAGTGCTGTTTCTAAGATTCTGATTTTTCTGTTGGAAGTATGGCTACTGGGAGAAATGTCCAAGAACTGGAATGAAATGTGCCCCTAAATGTGAAGGTAGGTGACAGGGAAAGTTCAGAACCATTTTGTATTTCCAAAGGATCAAGAACCAGATAGAGCTGGGCGAGGATAGAACAGGTGAGAGTGTAGATATATTTGTTCTATATACCATGTTGGTATTAAAAGTTATATTTGTTCCTGATTTGTCTGATTTCCCTATTTAATCAAAATAGTAAGTCTTTCTAAATTGAAATGAGTTTTTTTTTTAAGTACCACTTGTTTAACGGTGGTTACTTATGTCCAAAGAGCAAAGAGTAAGTTAGTTAACAAACCATTAAGCAACCTTGAAGCTGACAGGGTTGGGTGAAGTGGTGAGTTGCTTAGATCAGGTGTCTAAGTAACTTTCTGATTGAGATTGCCTAATTCTTTAATGCTTCTACCAATGTCACTTGAAGTGACCAGGTTTTTAAAGACCCTAAAAGGTGTTGGAGAGATGGGGTATAATGTGTACTTGAATACTTGGATACACAGAGAGGTGTTTTCCTGGCACATGTGTTTAACTAGAATTTGTGTGTTTTGTTATCAATTTCATTCCCTAAGGTGAAATTTGTAGTGTTTCATGTGACTTGGGGGAAGAAATTATTTTACGGAGTATACAAATCAACACTTCATATTAAGGAAAATAAAACAATTGCTTTAAATATATTTATTTATTCATTTTTGGAGAGGTTTTTGCTATGGGGCGCATGCACTCGCCAGAAGATAAATAGAGACAGATAGAAAGCAAGAAATCACCCCCGGAGGAGATGGCCATGCCACAGTCCCTTCTCCTCCATTCTGCTCTTGGGATCTTGGGCACGCACGCACAAGCTTCCAGCATGAATTTAAGCCACAAGGTCCAGGACTCGAGCCACAGTCGACTACATGGGAGTCCAGCTACATAGCCATTTCACCAACTGCTGGTCCCAAAATTTATTTAAAACAATATTAATTAAAGTGTTTTGCCAGTGATCAGGATTCTTATCTAGCAGCTTTTCCACTTACCTGGAAAGTTCTGATCTTTTGTGTTTGCTTCTTCATCTTGCCACATTCTTATACTGGGTATCGTCATTGTGAAATGGATCAAGGTTCTTCGGTGTCAGAGAGAGTGCCTCCTACCCATTTTGCTCCTGGGATTTAGACTCTTTGTTTTCACAATTGACTGAGTTACTAATAAGTTTGGGCTAGCATAAAAAACTAGTTTTTTGTTTTTTGTTTTTTTTTTTTAGGTTTTTGCCATAGGGCATGTGTGCTTTCCAGAGAGAGAGAGACAGTAAGTGAAAAAAGAAATCACCCCCAAGGGTAGATGGCAGTTCTGCGATCCCTTCTCCTCTATTCTCCTCCTGGGACTTTGGGTACACATGCACATGCGCTGGCATGGTTTATAAACTTGCGGGTCGGGGACTCAAACTGCACTTAGCCATGTGGGAGTCCAGCACTTGAACGACTATGCCACCTGCTGGTCCCAATAAACTAGTTCTTGAATTAGGATACTATGTGGTCTTGTCAGTCTTCTCTCTGCCATATCTGAGAACGCAGAAGAGCATTACCCTATAACTGTTTCCTGTACAAAGAACAGGTTTATTAGTGGAGTTTTGTGGGCTTGTTTTTTTTTGTTTTTTTGTTTTTTGTTTGAGTCTTGGTTTTTTCTTTTTTTTTCTTAGAGAGTGTATCTACTTGTCAGAGAGAGGGAGGAAATAAAAGCAACTCTATGGGGCATGAACACACCACAATTCCATCTTCATTTCTCCCACCTTTTGTGATATGGGGCACATATGCACAAGGACCTGGAATGTTTCTTAAGTCTCCAGGACTTGAACAATGTGATTGATCATATGTGCTCCCACTGTCTTAACCACTAGGCCATGGAGCAGCCTTGTTCTGTTTTTAAGTTGAGCTCTTACTAGTTTAAGAGGGGGACCACAGGTAGCATGGAAGCTGAGGCACTCTCACATGGCCAGCCTCAGTTTGAGTCCCAGACCTGGAGGCTTGCTCGCTTGCACTCTCTCTTTCTCTTTCTCTGATGAGTGCATATGCCCTGCAGCAAATTTTAAAAAGAATAAGAATGATGATAAATAAATAAATCATTTTTTTTATAAAGGAGATGCTAAAATTAGAGATTTCAAAGCGTCTAGAATTATTCTTCTGATATAATTTAAGTTGCATAATCTGAGTTTTTCAAGGAAGTGATGGGTTAAATGCTTTAGGAGGGTAAGAAGAATTTCTGAAAGGCCAGAAGTTACATTCTCACCTGAGAGAGACTAAGAGACCGGGGGTGGGGGAGCACCCCCCACCCTGATGAGGCGTGATCATGCCACAGCTCCTTTTCCTTTTCTCCATTTTATTGGGATTTTGGGTGCGCACGCATGCACACAGACACATACATGCCAGTGCGTTTGTCAAGCCGTTGGGCCCAGGGTCAAACAGTAGTCAGCCATCTGGGATTCACTCAGCCAGGAGGGATCTGGCCCCCCTGATCCCTGCCCTATTTATTGATCACAAAGTTTTATCAACATCAGCATTCTAATGTTAATGTAAAATGTTCTGCAAATGCAGTAGGTTAATTAGAACAATCTTTAAAGACACTTTAGAAAAGATGCTACCTGAATAACTTGTTACAAGGAGACTTTCAGGTCAGAGTTATCCCCAAGTTAATTCTGAATTTTATCTTAGAAGTAACAAAGATATTATCATGTGATTTCTTTGAAAAGCATTCTGTATCTTCGTAACAGTTATTAATGATCCGATTGTTCCATCGAGCCTTTGTGCCGTAAAGATGAAACTGTTGTCTTTATAAGACATTAACATTGTACTTCCTTTTAGGACAAGAAAGAGACGGCCATCAGTGACTGCAGCAAAGGTACAGTTCTGTCTATTGTGTGTTAACATACGAGAGCCTCACCTCAGCTAGACAGACTCATGGGCTTTGGGTTAGGTATGTGCTGTCCATGTGTGTCCTTCCTCTGGGGCTTTCTAGAAAAAGTTTTAGGGACGAGGTGATAGCACAGCAGTAACACAGTGCTCTGCAAGACTGACCTACATGGGAAGGTTCCAGATTCGAGTCCAGAAGGCCTCCTGGAACACTGGGCATGTGTGTGCCCTTGATCAGGGCAGGACAAAAGTGGGAGGAGGTCACTGCATGAAGACTGTCTTGAGAGTGCTTTCTCTCTGTCTGCCTTGCTCATGAAAGAAAGGGAAAGGAAAGGAAAGGAAGAGGGAGGGGAGGAGGGAAGGGAAGGGAAAGGAAGAAAGAATAAAAGCAAGTAGTTTGACGTTTTCAGAAATATTTCGTCATGGTCATCTTAGAGTAATAAGCATGCTCTTAAATGAATTTTCACTCAGTTTCTTCTCCTCTGTTAGTAAATATGTAAGGAAAAATCCAAAGTTGTCCTGGCATGGAACAAAATTTACTTCCTGTAGTCTCTGAATTACCTTCCTTTGAGATTGTAATTGCAGATCTTAGCAACTATTAGGGCATTTGGATCTGTGTGTTTGAGGGGGTGGTTAGACATCTGTGGTGAGGGACACTTTCTGTTGGTGAATTGGTAGTGTCTTCAGATATAATAATTCTTCCACACCTACTTCCCAGTATTTTATTGCCCTTCACAGGTTTACACAGTCATGTCTTCTGTACAGTATGAGTTCCACTAGGATCTTTTCATCAACTAGCTGTAACAGAAACTTTCAAATATAAGATTGCTTTTGTTTTTGTTATTGTTTTTGTTTTTCAAAAATTTCCTGATGGGCAAGGACCTGCAGTTAGTGTAATAGCTATGTCACTGAACTCCCATGGAGTTGACCACGGTTTGAGTCCCGGACCCGGTGGCTTAAACTCACGCCGGGCGTGTGTGCATGTGTGAATGTGTACCCAAGATCCCTAGAGGAGAATGGAGGAGAAGGGATTGAGGCATGGCCATCCCCCCAGGGGGGTGATTTCTCACTTTCTCTCTGTCTTTCTGGCGAACACATGCGCCCTATAGCAAAAACCTCTCAAAAAAAAATTTTTTTTTTTCCTGATAGGCTAGACAGTTTCTTGTCTTTCTTTTTCTTTTTCTTTTTTTTTTTTAAGAATTATTTATTTTTTTATTTTTTTTTTTTGTTATTTTATTTTGACCAGAGAGAGAGAGAGAATGGGAAAGCAGGAAAGCAAGCTGCCAGATCCAGGACTCAAACCATGGTTGGCCACGTGGGAATCCAGCGTCTCTAACCACCATGCTACCTGCCAGCGCCAGACAGTTTCTTGTCTTACTAATCAACTTGATGTGGAGAATGTACATGACCACTCTTGCTTCCATCTTATTAATTAATCTCATGAGTTTTTATAGCTAATTGCTCTTTTTGTATTTTATATTTTTTCATTTTCACTCTTTGTGTAGTATTTTCTGAGAGAATCATAAGGCAGAAACCTTATAGGTTATCTAGTTCCCCTCCAGCACTATGCAGAATTTGCTCTAGTAATTTTTTTATTTACATAAATTAAACTTGGCACCCTTTCCACTGGCTTTCTTTATGTTTGCTATTTCTTTTTTTTTTTTATTTAAATTTATTTATTTACATTCATTCACTGTACATCATTACGACATGCAAAATGAGATTTTCCATCCAGATTACACTGTATATTGGTTCAATCAAGCACATCAGCATACATGTTATCATCAACAAATAATTTTCCATTTCTTATTTCCTAATGTTTTTCTTTTTTTTTTTTTCCCTCATCCTTGATTCCCTATCTCTTACCCTCTGCCATCTCCCACTCTCCTCCCACATTGTCTCTGGTATCTATGCTTGCTTTCTTTTTTTTTTTTTTAATTTATTTATTTATTAATTCACTTTACACCATCACAACACACAAGTGAATTTTCCATCCAAAATACACTGTGCATTGGCTCAATCAAGTACATCCACATATATGTTCTCAGCAAATAATTTTCCAATTCTTACGTCCTGCATACCTTGCCCTTTGTCTTGCCATCCCTGATTCCCCATCCTCCACCCTCTGCTATGTCCCTCCTTCCCCCCCCCTTTTTCCCTGGCATCCATGGTTGTCCTCCATACCTTCCTCCCCCCCCCCTTCAATTGTTCTGCTAATGAACTTAATTAGTCTAAATAAATCCATTAGCTAGCACAGCTGACACAAACCTACACATGTATCCTAGTCTGACCCTAGGCATAAACCCCGGTGAGTAGAATGAACATTATGTTTGCTATTTCTTTATGGTATCTGAAGGAAACTGTTACTACACTAAAATCTGGCACACTGAGCCAGCCAGTGTCTTGGGGATTAAGGCAGCTGATACCACGTGGCTGATGGTGCAGCCGATGGTGCGGTTCAAGTCCTGTACCTGGCAGCTTGCAAACACACCAGGCATGTGTGAGCATGCCCAAAATCTTGAGAGAATGGAGAAGATGGGATTACAGTGGCCATCCCCCAGGGGGAGGTGCTTTCTCCCTTTTCTTCTGTCTCTCTCTGGCAAACACATACGCCTTACAGCAAATTTAAAAATAAATCAATCAAACAGACTACATCTAGGCTATTACCATCTTGGTCTGGAATTAATTCTTAATGTGCCATTTTGTTTGGAAGAAGTTACTTTACCTGCCAGAGAAAGATGGGGGGCTGGGCAAAAGCATCCCACAGTGGGGCTTGGTCATACTGCAATCTCCTTTCTAACATTTCTCTATCCTGGGGACCAGCAGTTAGCATAATGGCTATGTCGCTGAACTTCCATGTAGCCGACCACGGTTCGAGTCCTGGACCTGGTGGCTTAAACTCACACTGGGCGCATGTGCGTGTGTACTCAGGATCCTGAGAGGAGAATGGAGGAGAAGGGATTGAGGCGTGGCCATCCCCTCCTCGGGGGTGATTTCTCGCTTTCTATCTCTCTGTCTCTCTCTGTCTTTCTGGCGAGCACATGCGCCCTATAGCAAAAACCCTCTCCAGTTCTAAAGCTTTAACTACTAGATATAAATTAGCACAATGTAGCCATTCCACCTTATTTCAAAATATTGTTATATATGATAAAAATATGCAGTTTTTATTTGCCAGTTTAAAAAAAGTTTAGATTATTGGACCAGCAAATAGCGTAATGGCTATGTCACTGCACTCCCATCTAGTCAATCACGGTTCAAGTCCTGGACCCAGTGACTTAAACTCAATGGAGGAGAAGGGATTGTGGCATGGCCATCCCGCCAGGGGGTGATTTGTTGTTTTTTGTTTCTCTCTCTCTGTCTTTCTGGTGAGTGCACGAACCCTATAGCAAAAACCTCTCCCCCCCCAAGAAAATTAAATTTAAAAATATACAAATAAACATATTAATTATTCATGTCAAGAAATTAGAACAACAGAAGCTAAATGGTGGCAAGAAATGCTATTCTTGTTTTAGAGCCTTTACTTTTGTTAGTTTCTCTTTCTGGTACACTCCCTAGCCTCTCAAATGGTGGGCCTCCCTAAAATATTCCCTCTTTATATACTTTACCTTGTTTTATTTTTCAATATAACACTCTAACTTTCTGAAATTACTATATGCTGTCTGCTCTTGCCATTTAAATAGCGTAAAGCTTCATGAAAACAAAGACCTTGCCTGTCTTGTTTACTACTCTAGTCCAGAGATTCATGATGTAAGATATATATATATTAGGCCTAAGTAAATGTTTACTGAAAGCGTAAATGAATACTGTATAAAAAAGAAAAATGTTCTAGACCCAGGACATTACTTCCTTTTTCTTCTCCCTCCCCCCCCCACTTATTCTTCCATGAATGAGGGAGAGACAGAGAGAAAGTACCTCAGCAGGTCTTGACATTGCAGCCTGCCCTCAAACTCCACCAGCCCTGGATGTCCTCGGGGAGGTCTTCAGATGCAAACCCAGAACCTTCCCATGTAGGTCAACCTCACGGTGTGGAGTTTTACCACTATGCCACCATTTGGCCCCCAGGATGTTGCTTTCTGATAGAAAAAGGAACAACTCAGAGAGAAGAGGAGAAATGTGGTGTACTTGAACCAAAACATGGCAGAGGATGGTTAGAAAGGCAGTTGTGGCAGGACAAAGGACAGGATATTTCTCACCAGTGTCCTAAGGGGCCTGGGGAAGTAGTTTGAAGAAACAGTACGAGTTTGGCCAGGAATGTAACCTAGTAGCCGAGGCCTAGAGAAAAAGAGAGGATGATAGAGTCTGCCCCCAGATTGTTTTCCCTCAACTAATTTATACTTTCAAATTCTCTGTCACTCTTGTACCGTGTACTTGTACTCTGTGTTCTGGCATATTCTGGGATGGGTGGTGGACAGTTAGGCAAAATCCAGGTCTTGATATGTAAAGACCAGGGTTTGACAGACTATAGCAGCAAGCCAAATCCAGCCCACCACCTGTTCTTGTACATCCCACAAGCTCAGAATGATTTACACATTTTTAAATATTTGGAATTCAAATCAAAAGAAAAAAGTATTTCCAGATAGGTGAAAATTATGTGAAACTCAAATCTTAGTATCTATAAAAAATATTTTCTTGGAACACATTCAGCCTTATTTACTTACATGTTGTCTATTCTCATTTTCATGCTACAGTAGCATATTCAGTGTTTACGACAAAGTTGATCTATCTAGCCCAAGAAGCCTGAATCTTCACTATCTTGTCCTGTACAGAAAAAATTTGCTGACTCCATTTATAGACTCTGACAAATGACTTCCTTTTATACCCTCACAGGATGGTTGCTGAAGAAATTTGACATATCTGAAAATACAGAACCTGTTTCTTTGTGGTAACAATTTCTTCTCTTTTTACAGCAATTCAATTAAACCCCAGTTATATCAGGGCAATATTGAGGCGAGCAGAGTTGTACGAGAAAACAGATAAGCTAGATGAAGCCTTGGAAGACTACAAATCTATATTAGAAAAAGATCCATCAATACATCAAGCCAGAGAAGCTTGTATGGTAATGTATAAATTGTTCTACTTTTTTTTTCTTCTACTCTCTGTGTTCCTACTCAGTGAGTCTTAAACAATCCATTGGGACACAAATCCCATTTCTATGCTTTTGAGGAGCTTATCAAGACATATGGAAGCTATATCTTTCAAGTGGCCACAAACCCACTGTAACTAAGTACCATTTAATCACTGTTCTAAAAAAGGAAAATGTAAACCTTTGATCTCTAGGGTTAACAAGAACTGCATTTTCATGTCAGTCCCATCCACTGTAGTTGTACAGTTCAGCTCAGTGTAATTTTTAGCATTATAGGGGATAAACTTCTGGTTTTCTGTCCATCCTTTTCCTTCCTTATCCATCACCAAGTTTCTATCCCGTGGCCATATGCCCAACACATTTCTAATTGCATATATCTTGCACTAAACCTTCTTAGATTTATTTATTTATTTATTTGCTTGCTTGCAATAGGGTGTGTACACTTGGAGGAGAGAGAGAGAGTAAGAAAGCACCCCCAGGGGGGATGACCAAGCCACAGTCCCTCCTCCTTCATTCTCCTCTTAGGATTTTGGGAACGCAAGCCAATATGCCTCGTGTGTTTTTTAAGCTGCTGGGTCAGGATTCAAACCATACAGTCAGCCATTTGGGATCCAGCCACCTTAACCACCATGCCACCTGATTAGCTTATTAACTTTCTTAAAATTACTGTTATTCTAGGGCCAGCAGTTGGCATAATGGCTATGTCGCTGAACTCCCATGTAGTCGACCGTGGTTCCAGTCCTAGACCACTGGACTTAAACTACATCAACTGCATGGGAGTCCAGCGACATAGCCATTATGCCATCTGCTGGTCCCCACATGAGGTTTTTAATCAAATTCAAAGACTTTTCACCAACCTCGTTTTTCTTCTTTTCCCCTCAGAGATTACCTAAGCAAATTGAAGAACGTAATGAAAGACTAAAAGAAGAGATGTTAGGTAAGTTTGCTTCCCGTATATTCTCTTGCCCAGAAGCCCCTAAGAAGCGTTAGGAAGCTTGATGTTGTTACATATCAATAGCTTGAGTGGCTAGACTCCTTTATTTCTTACTGACTAAATCTAAGGATCCTCAATAAAATAGTGCTTTCACCATAATGGCCCTATCATTAGAAGGGAGCGGTAGCTCTTCCTGGCATTTCATCCCCTCAGGAGCTTTCTGGAGTTCCTCCCCAGCCTTGTTATAGAGGAGGTGACTGTGGTTCATGTGCGAGAGCCCTGGAGCTTGTGCTGAACTCAACTGATATCACTTCCTCAGGAGTTCTGAGCAAGCTTTTTGTGGTGGACTGTGTGACTTTTATTACTAGTTCTTGTGAAAGTGATGGCTTCTACCAGAGAATTAGCAGTTAAAGTTTTGTTTTTTGTTGTTTTTTGGGGGGGAGGGGGAGAGGTTTTTGCCATAGGGCGCATGCACTCACCAGAAAGAGAGAGACAGAGAGATAGAAAGTGAGAAATCACCCCCCAGGGGGGATGCCCACGCCACAATCCCTTCTCCGCCATTCTCCTCTCAGGATCTTGAGCATGCATGCATAAGTGCCCACCATAGTTTTAAGCCACCGGGTCCGGGATGCAAAACCACAGTCGACTACATGGGAGTCCAGCAACATAGCCATTACACTTAACTGCTGGTCCCGAGTTAAAGAATTTTTTAAAAAGCACCTCAACACCATTTATCATTGGCATTTTCAATGGAGAAACATCCTAATCAGAATTGTTAATGAGTAGAACAGCGTTGGCTCTTCCCTTCCTAGCTTGTTATTTGTAACTATCACCTTTAGAACAGGAGACTCGGTGGTGATTTGGGCTGTGCAGTCCATGCTAAGCAGGAAAGGCAGTCGTGATAGTTTCAGGACGATCATTTGAGAGAAAGACTCAGCAGCCGGAGTGTTTCCTTTTGTCGTCTTGTCTGGAACAGTGAGCACTGCAGCAGTCATAATCAGGAATAGAGGTTTGAGGTTTGGACGGACTTTGGAGATACTGGAAGCTGTGATGAGATGGAAACAGATGCCCTGGACATAGCAGTGTAGGAGGCCCAGAGCTTTTTTGGACCATTGGTGATCAGTGCCCTTTTATTTGCTTTTGTTTTTAAAAAGTCTTACATGAAAACATGATACAGTAAAAAATAAGAAATGACGTTGTATAAATTCAGATGCTTGGCTATATTTAGAAAAATCAGGTGGGTTTGAGGAACATAAAAGTGAGTAGCTATCTAGATAGGTAAATAGTAAAAACACAATTTTTTAAGATTTTTTTGCTGTAAGGTACAGGTACTCACCAGAGAGACAGACAGTGAGAAATCACCCCCAGGCAGGATGGGTATACTGCAATCCCTTCTCCTCCATTCTCCTCTTGTGATCTTGGGCACATGTGCATACACACCCCCTGTTGAGTTTTAAGCCGACGGGTCCAGGACTTGAACCGTGGTCAACTATATGGAAGCCACTGAGGGCCTTGTTCCTAATCCAGCCCAGGTTTTCCTTGCCTCATCACCTCTTACTTCCTGAAACATACCCTGCATTTCTAACTCCTTAAGGTCCTCAGTTGTTCACTTCTGGACACAAGTAACCTGACGAGCCCACGTTCACCAACTAAATTAAGAATACCATCTTGTGGGAGTCCCACGTTCAGGAGCTACGGACAGAGACAGAAGTCACTTGTTCCCTCTCACTGCAAGGCTGGCACACGTTCTCCTGGCTATACCTGTGCATTACAGGCTCCTATGCTCTGCAAGGGAGGCCTAGAATTAGCTCCCTCGTGAGGATCACAAGAAAGATCGAGTCGTTATTGTCCCTCTTAAAACAGTTGAAGCCACACACATGGGTATGGAAATTCAAAGCTGTTTTTTCTGTTTCTCGTCATGCCATCTTAATACCGATCTTTACAGACTGTACACTCGCAGTATTTTGCACCCTGAGCACCTCTCTGAACCAGCTCCTGTCGCTGCTGCTCCCTCAGTGAGGAATGACAGTGGGTTTTCAGTGCCCTGCTCTTTTCCTCACTTCCCACTTGCTCTCCTCAGGCCTTTCTCCTCAAGAGAATAGTTCTTGCTTCTTGACCATTCTTGGAAAGGCTCATTCCACCTTCTTTTACCCAAGAGCTGACATGATAGAATTTGAATGCAGTGTAAATTTATCTTCTTTCTCTGGTGCTAGCTCTTGATTTGCCTTCCGCTCAGAGGAAAGCAAGGGTTAGCCCCATGGCTTGGTTTCCCACATCCTAGGAAAAAATGCAGCATTAGGATTTAATTGTATGCAATTTGGTTCTTCTAAATAGAGGAGAAAATCCCAAAGGAGATATTGCACTATACCCAAGCCCAGTGATCTTAAGATGAAAGCCAGTGGTCTTCCTGGTTATCCTTGGGGTAAATTGCCTAGTTAATGGTCAGTATCTCCAAAGAGAAATTACACATAATGCATCAGTTGGGTTACAGGGATACACTGTTACTTGGGGGTAGAGAAATTAATGTTTATCAGAACTGGTTGCAGGATTGATAATCTAGTTCTGAACGTTCTTGTCTGAGCACAAGCAGTTTCTCTTTGCCATCTGATCTAGTCTAATAGATGAGAACCTGATAGTTAGGGACATGTTGACATGTTCAGGCTGAGTAAAGATGCCAGACGTGCTACGAATCAGAACCTAGTTGATTACTTCCCCGTGGGGAGAGGCGGGCGTGGGTTTGGCAGCCAGTGGAAAGTGTGGCGGATGGGCTGGCTTGGCAGATTATCCCTCTTTGAATACAAGGAAGCAGTTTAAGAGTCAGAGCACCCAGCCTGACTCTTAAACAGCAGGGAGGTAATTCAAGGGTGTGTGATTGTGAATATATCTAGAAGCTCGATTACCACTAAAACCTGCAACTCCTGCTGTCATCACAAATAGCAGAAGGGGAATTTTTCAGACACCAAAAATGTGTTGAGGGACCAGCAGGTGGCGAAGTAGTTGAGGTAGTTAAGACCCCCACATGACTGACTGATTCCAGTCCTGGACCTGGGGGCTTGCTTTCTTACTTTCCCTTTCTCTCTGTCTCTCTTTGGTGAGCACACATGCCCTATAGTAAATTAAGTAATAATATTAAATAATTGTTTATTAAAACAAAGAGTGTGTTGATTCTACATACCATTTTGATGTATTCCTTTATATTCCCATTGGGCCCACTCTGGTTTCAGAGACTATTTGCCAGCATCAGAAACGTCAGGATGAATGTTTGGTGAATCAGCGGTCTCTCTCCCATCATGCTACAATAACTTTTGTCACCATCAGAACCACCCCCAGACTCTCCCCTTCTGGTTCATTTTTCACTTTGCCACAGGATTATTAATAATTCCAAAAGCTCAGTTCTTAAGTCCTCAGTCTCCTCCTGTGGCACAAGAACCATAGATCACTGGGCCTGGCCAGGTGAGCCTGGCAGGAGGCTTATGTATCACCCAGTGGACACAGAGCTCACCCTGTCCTAATGAGACTAAGAGTTCTCACCATGAGTTACTAGGAAGGGCTTCTGAATTTAAGGACCATGAATCTTTAAGTTCTTTACTTGAATTTTACTCTACAGAAGGCCTCAGAACAGCACAAATTGCTAAGTGGTAAAGTGGGAAGGAGCTTGTACCTCTGGTGAATAGGGGTTTCTTGTCCTGTCTCCCCCCGTCTTATCTCCATTGGAAGCAGATCTGCAAGGAAAATTAAACAGTTTAGAAAGGGTTGAATTTGTTTATTCTTTTTCTCAGCCAAGAATTTCCATAACACTCCTAATTTCAAATATTCTATTCCATAGCCTCATAAATCCCTCTAAATCTCTGAAATGTTCTGGAATTTCCAACTCTTTACATTTTTTTTTTTTTTCAAATTTACCAAAGAGTGCATTTCCTCGCAAGAGAGACAAACGGAGGGAAAATAGTTAAGTACCCTTCCTGGGGCCAGCAGGTGGTATGATAGCTAAGGACTAGACTCCCATATGGCTGACCAGTTTGAGTCCCGGACCTGGCGGCTTTCCCTTTCTCACGTTCCCTCTTTCTTTCTCTCTTTGTCTTTCTAGTCAAATTAAAAAATAATGATAATAGATCAAATTAAATAAATATTTTTTGGGGGGGGAGAGATTTTCGCTATAGGGCGCATGCGCTCACCAGACAGACAGAGAGACATAGAGACAGAAAGCGAGAAATCACCCCCCAGGGGGGATGGTCACGCCGCATTCCCCTCTCCTCCATTCTCTCGGGATCTTGGGCACGCACGCACACACGCCTGGCATGAGTTTTAAGCCACCGGGTCCGGGACGCAAACCATGGTTGACTACGTGGGAGTCCAGTGACATAGCCATTACGCTAACTGCTGGTTCCCAGTAAATAATTATTTTTTAAAAAGAAAGAAAGAAAGTAAAAGCACCTCTCATGGGAGTTGGTCACGCCACAGTCTCTTCTCCAGCTCTTCCTCCTTTCAGGACTTGTGACACATAGGCACAGGTGTCTTGTGTGTTTTTCAAGCTGCCGGGTCCAGGATTCAGACCTAAGGGTTGGCCATTTGCAATCCAGTTGCCTAATCACAAGGCCATGGCTGGCCCAGAAATTTCAGCTTTTGACACCCACACTTCATAGCCCTCTTTTATCTAGAAACAGCATAGGTAGGACTCCTTGTATACAAACATGTGTCTTCATTTTGACTTCAGGACACGAGATCACCCAATATTAATAGGGAAGAGAAGACTGGACTCTTAGATTAGCCAAGTGCTATGGTGGGTAAGGTGGCTGGATCCCATATGGTTGACTACACAGTTCAAGGCCTGGACCCAGTGGCTTGAAAAACACTGAGTGCATCTACTTGCACACCCAACATCCAAAGAGAATAGAGAAGGGATTGTAGCGTAGCCATCCCCCCTGGAAGTTGCTTTCTTACTTTCCCACTCTCTCTGGCAAGCATAAAGCAAATTTAAAAAGAAAAAAAAAAGTTTGGGCTATCAAAGTTTATGGCACTACACATATGATAAGATCTCACTCTCCGATAAATGATGAGATAAAGATTTACTTAGAAAAGTAGGAAGCTCTTGAATTTGAATCCAGGCTCAGTAGAAGATTGCTGAGTTGAATGAGATTTAACAGGTGGCTGCTACTGGTTGGTAGACAGCAGATTGTGGGAGGCACCTTCGCCTCACCAGCAGGCTTGGAGAGCTACCTTCAGCCCCACCAGGAAGCAGAAGCTGTCGGTTTATACAGCAGCCAGCCCAGCAGCCTGTGTCCTTTGACAGCTCTGGCCAATTTGGACAGGAGAGTTTGAACTCGCAGAGAGAGCCGACAGGACCCCCTCACATCTAAGCCAGCACAGGCTCGGGGGTAGATGGCATTGAAGTGACAGCACCGCTGAGTGAGAACTAGAGACCAGGAACACTCCTGGAAGATTTCGTGTTATTAGAAAGCAGGCATTTCTTTGACTGCAGAGAGCTCTTTTTCAAATGTACATGTAATCATCGTGCGTCTTTATAGCATACAGTATGGCTTGTCAAAGCATGCATGCGTGTGTGTTAAGCAAGTCTAAGATATTACCACACATATCCTCCTCCACAGATAAATTTCCATTTTGAGTTTGTTAAATTGGTTTTTTTGTTGTTGTTTTTCCTTTTTTTAAGAATTATTTTTTATTTATTCATCCTTTTTTTTTTTTTTTTTTAATTTGACCAGAGAGACAGAGAGATTAAGAGAGAGAGACAGAGAGAGGGAAAGTGAGAAAGCAAGCCGCCAGCTTTGGGACTCAAACCGTGATCAGCCATGTGGGGAGTGTCCAGCGCCTTAGCCCCATGCCGCCTGCTGGTCCCCAAATTGATTTTTTTTTTAACGAATTTTTATATTTTGTAATCAGACAGGCAGGATCAGGTGATGTCTTCCTGCTTCTGGTCATTCCTGTATTCATTTGAGCTTTTCCTTTTCCATCGCAGGTAAACTGAAAGATCTTGGGAACTTGGTTCTCCGACCTTTTGGGCTCTCCACAGAAAATTTCCAGATCAAGCAGGATTCCTCTACTGGTTCCTACTCCATCAATTTTGTGCAAAATCCAAATAATAATAGATAACAAAGATAACAGTAGCTTTAAGAGCTGACTTGGAAATCGTGTGCTGCTTGCTATTCGCAAGGGGAAAGGCCCCGCCAGTGTTTCACTTTCAAAGCATTTTACCTGAAAGAAAGGCTACCCAGTAGAGCCTCATGCTCCCACTTCCCTCCTGTTTTATGATCCGGGTGAAATGTACTTCCTGATGCAACGAGCCTAATGAGGTTTCCATTTCAAGGCGATGTCTGTGCAGCTGTTGTCCCCTGTTCTGGCTGTCCTTTGTCCAGGAAGAAGCCTGCTTTTCAAGGCTGACCTCCCTGAGCCGCGCACACACACACACCCAGCGAAGCCTCTCCCGAACTGAGCAAGCCTATTGGTGGGGAGACAGCCCAGACACGGTTGATGAGTTCATTGGGGGGGAGCCAGCCCAGACACGGTTGATGAGTTCCCACCTACCAGCCCCTTTCCCAGATCACACTCTCATGGCTGCCGCGCGTGGTCTCCGGCATTCCCGGTTTCCTCTGTGGTAATAAAAGCTTTCTGTGACCGCCTGGGGTGGGTTGTGAATTTGTCCCTGTAACAACAGCTAAAGCAGGTTTCTGGCTTTGAGAGCAGCATTTCAGGCAGCTACTGATTCCGATTTCCACAGATCTACCCAAGTTTCAGATGCCACCTTGAAGATCTATCCTGAAAAGTTGGGATTCCGCCATGTAGAATTGAGAAACTCCACCTCATGAACTGTCACGGGCTCTGGCAGTGTTTTGTAGATGATTATAAACTCTGTTTTTGATCAAGCATTAATCTTAATTTCAACTTAAAACAGCTTTATTCAAGAAGAGAAGTAGATGAATCCTAAATCAAAACCATTTCAAAGATGGATATTTTTTTCCTAGTCATTGGATGCTGCTAGTGAAAAACTTTCATTCTGGTTTGGATGTCAGAGGCAGTGATGTGTGAGTTTCATCTTGGGAATGCACTGCACACACATTCTGTAGATGTCTTGCAGTAATCGCACCTCCAGGTTGAAGACTGTGCTCCTGTTTTCTGTCCCTAAATAGGCCCCTATAATGGGAGCCTATGCGGAATGGTGAGTCATCGCGGACGTTTAGGGAGTACTGACCATGTGCTAGGTGCACTCCTAGACTGTACATGTGTTAAGTTGATTCAGTGCTCACAATGGCCCTTTGTAGTAGGTCCCCCATATTGCAGATTAGGAAACTGATGTTAACAGCATGCACAAGGACACATGGCTCGTGGTAGAACCTGCGTTTGAGCACAGAGCTGCTTCTCCATGCTGCTTTGCAGAGGCAGCATTTGGATTGGCCTTTGAAAGACAGAAGGCTGGGGTTGATGGTTGTAGCCAGGAGAGGTGCCCGATAAGGGGGTGCCCTGCATATCATCACCCACTCTGACTAAACTCATGGGGTACCCCAGGATCTAAGCCTGAGGTCATCTGTGGGAGTGGGCCTGGCGCACTCATGAGAAACAGAACAAGAAAGCTGAGTGATGCAGCCTCATCTCTTAGAAAATTCTAGAAAGGCAGTTTCTAGGAGTTTGCAGAGGCAGAGCCAAAGGTCTGGGAGTTCCTTTGATTTTCTCACTTTCTTCTGACTCCACCTCCTGTTTCTCTGCTCTGCGCTTCTGTTGTTGCCTAGACCTGTAAAATGTACCCCCTCCTACCCCTTGGATCTCTGTCTGCCTGATAAGTTCCATCATTGACAGTCCTGCTCCCTCTCCCCAGGACAGAGCCAGCTGGCTGTGTGCATGGTGCGCTCTAGCCAAAAAATAAAAAAAAAGGAAAGAAAAAGAAAACAATTCCTGAAAAAAAGAAAAAGAAAGAAAATATCTTGTCTATTCTGCACAGATATCACTATCTCCCTTTTTCTTTTTGTGTGTGTTCACCAGAGAGAGCATCATTGTCCAAGGGCCCCAGAGCCTGGGCGATGTCTGTGCTTTGGGGTAGACCAACCTGGGTTGAAGCTGGTAGAATAATGAAGACAGTGACCTAGTTAGCCACAACTTTACCGGGACTGAAGGCTCAGAGAGGTAAAGCAAATCTCCCAAGCCACACAGAGGAGTATTATTGGACCATTCTTGTCTTGGTTCTGCTTAACAAATCTAGACCTTTAAAAGGAAGATAGTAGGGCCTGGCAGAGGCATAGCGATTGTGTCGTTGTACTCTCACATTGCCGACCATGGTTTGAGTCTCAGACCCGGTGACTTTAAAATTACACCAGGCACATATGCATGAGTGCCCAAGACCCCAGGAGGAGACTAGACAAGAAGGGTTTGCAGCATGCTGTCCCTCCTGGGGGGTCATTTCTCACTTTTCCTCTTGCTGTCTCTGTTTCTCTCTCTCTCTTCAGGGAGTGCATGTGCCCTAAGGCAAAAACCTCTTTAAAAAAAAAAAGGAAAGGAGAGAGAGTAATATCTGTGCAGACTAGACAAGATATTTTCTTTCTCTTTTTTTTTTTTTTCAGAATTTTTTTTTTTTTTTTTCTTTTTTTAAAAATTTTTTTTTTTTTTTTCATCCTTTTTTTTTTTTTTTTTTTAATTTGACCAGAGAGACAGAGAGATTAAGAGAGAGAGACAGAGAGAGGGAAAGTGAGAAAGCAAGCCGCCAGCTTTGGGACTCAAACCGTGATCAGCCATGTGGGGAGTGTCCAGCGCCTTAGCCCCATGCCGCCTGCTGGTCCCCAAATTGATTTTTTTTTTAACGAATTTTTATATTTTGTAATCAGACAGGCAGGATCAGGTGATGTCTTCCTGCTTCTGGTCATTCCTGTATTCATTTGAGCTTTTCCTTTTCCATCGCAGGTAAACTGAAAGATCTTGGGAACTTGGTTCTCCGACCTTTTGGGCTCTCCACAGAAAATTTCCAGATCAAGCAGGATTCCTCTACTGGTTCCTACTCCATCAATTTTGTGCAAAATCCAAATAATAATAGATAACAAAGATAACAGTAGCTTTAAGAGCTGACTTGGAAATCGTGTGCTGCTTGCTATTCGCAAGGGGAAAGGCCCCACCAGTGTTTCACTTTCAAAGCATTTTACCTGAAAGAAAGGCTACCCAGTAGAGCCTCATGCTCCCACTTCCCTCCTGTTTTATGATCCGGGTGAAATGTACTTCCTGATGCAACGAGCCTAATGAGGTTTCCATTTCAAGGCGATGTCTGTGCAGCTGTTGTCCCCTGTTCTGGCTGTCCTTTGTCCAGGAAGAAGCCTGCTTTTCAAGGCTGACCTCCCTGAGCCGCGCACACACACACACCCAGCGAAGCCTCTCCCGAACTGAGCAAGCCTATTGGTGGGGAGACAGCCCAGACACGGTTGATGAGTTCCCACCTACCAGCCCCTTTCCCAGATCACACTCTCATGGCTGCCGCGCGTGGTCTCCGGCATTCCTGGTTTCCTCTGTGGTAATAAAAGCTTTCTGTGACCGCCTGGGGTGGGTTGTGAATTTGTCCCTGTAACAACAGCTAAAGCAGGTTTCTGGCTTTGAGAGCAGCATTTCAGGCAGCTACTGATTCCGATTTCCACAGATCTACCCAAGTTTCAGATGCCACCTTGAAGATCTATCCTGAAAAGTTGGGATTCCGCCATGTAGAATTGAGAAACTCCACCTCATGAACTGTCACGGGCTCTGGCAGTGTTTTGTAGATGATTATAAACTCTGTTTTTGATCAAGCATTAATCTTAATTTCAACTTAAAACAGCTTTATTCAAGAAGAGAAGTAGATGAATCCTAAATCAAAACCATTTCAAAGATGGATATTTTTTTCCTAGTCATTGGATGCTGCTAGTGAAAAACTTTCATTCTGGTTTGGATGTCAGAGGCAGTGATGTGTGAGTTTCATCTTGGGAATGAACTGCACACACATTCTGTAGATGTCTTGCAGTAATCGCACCTCCAGGTTGAAGACTGTGCTCCTGTTTTCTGTCCCTAAATAGGCCCCTATAATACGTGGTAGATGCAGAGGAAAAGAATCCAGTAGTACTGCTGAAAAGAAATACTGGATTCCTTGCTACCTGCCAGCCTAAGAGATAGGACTCAAATAACCTAAACATATTAGAGTGACTGCTTAAGACCATTTGGGAGACAAACTAATGATAGTTTCTCGACACCGGTGAAGATGTCTTCCGTCTTTATTTTTCAAAGCCCCAATCATTTCAGTCTTCCTGGCCACACGATGGTAATGGAACAAGGAACGGATACACAAGGATTGGGTATCCTAGTCTACCTTTACAAATACTTTAAATATTTTATAATTTAATTCTTCTGATTTTCCAACCCTCTGAAATCTGAAGCTAGGAATAAGCTCCATTATACAAAAGTTCTCTCAGCAACTAAAAATAGAAGCCCCTGCCACCTTTTTCCCTTGAGCAAAGGGGAAACTTTGGAAGCTCGCATTTCCCTCTCAAGGCAGAGCAGGACCTACTGCACCTGGGCGGTGTTCGGTGTCAACTAGTCTTCGTTCCTGTCAGTTCCGGCTGCCAGCCGGCCCAGATGAGACCTACTGTCCAGCAGTGGGCTCTTGGGCCAGCAGTCGTCCTAACAGTTACGAAGGGAACCAACCCAGAGGCTTTGGGGAAAACTCATAGTTAGAAACATGAAGAAATGAATCTGAAGATGCTGGAATCTCATTCTGCTGCAGCATGCAGTGCCAATGTCCATGTCAGACATCCCACCCAGACTCACCAGGCAGCCACCATATGCCACCTGAGCACATGGCCATGCAGCCCCTAGCCAGTGCCTCACAAACCTGGAACTCTTCAGGCAAACTACAAACAGTCCTCAGAGCCCTGCAGGGGTGGGAAGTGAGGAAACAGACTAGCATTAAATGTTGATGCGCGCAGGCTTTGGCAGGCTAGCATGGTTCTTAGCCTCAAGTACACATGACTTTCGTAGAGGGTTTGACCGCCCCCAAAACAACATGCAGTTTGCAGCTTTGTCGCAGGAACTTCACTGGGAAAAAAGGTCTGATAGTTTCCTAGGACACTGGATTCTGCCGCAGACAGTTTAGTATT